CATTAATAATATTCTGAAACACAGGGCTGAAGTGTAGTTAAGCAGTACAGTGCTTGCCTAGAGTGCCAGCACCATACACACACACAGATTATTACAAGAATTGAGTAGCCACTAAAATCAAGAAAAGAATTAAAATTCGTTGTGATTTCTATTCATTCACAGACAAGAAGCACCTCATCCTAAGAAGAAAGTGATGAATTTGATGAATTTCTCTCCAAGGCTATGAGGACGGCCTTGTTTACTTGACTTTTTTTTTTTTTTAATATGGCACAACAGGCTTTATCACTAAAATTTAAAATTTAATGTTTCTATGCCTATAGTCCCAACTACTCTCGAGGCTGAGGCAAAGTATTTATCCTGAAAGTATTTATGGAAAGTACAACTAGACTTGTCTTAAATAGACAACAGGGAAATATACTATTATGATGCTTATATATTTAAAATAAAGGAAAAACATACACTCAACAATGGTACCCATGTAGTTAATATTTAAAATAAAATAAACTAAATAAAGGAAAAACATACACTCAAGAATGGCACTCATGTAATTAAAGAATGAAGTTATTTACAAATATACAACTATATGACCAAACAAACATTTTCTAAAACATGCATATTACAGTGTCCTTTTATAAGAGACATATAAGAGTAAACTACTTAAATATTATCAGCTGCCATGATTAGAATAGAATAGAACAGAACAGAACAGATACTGGTCTGTTGTTCTATAAGAGGCTAGATGAAACATCAAAATCAGTACTTCTTGAGAAAATTGTATCTACTTTGGCATCAACATTACCTGTCATCAAATAAATGCAGTCCCAGTGATTTTTTGTTTGCTTTGTTTTTCAAGACAGAGTTTCTCTGTAGCTTTGAAGGTTTTCATGAAACTCACTCTATAGACCAGACTGGCCTCAATCTCACAGATATCCGCCTGCCTCTGCCTCCCCAGTGCTAGGATTAAAGGTATGTGCCACCACCGCCTAGCCAGACAGTGATTCTTTCCTGAAGTTTTAACTTCACTATTGCTGTGTTTTGAGACAGAATCCCAGGTAGCCCAGGCTGGCCTGAATCTCACTATGTAGCTAAAGGTGGCCTTGAACTCCTGATCCCCCTGCCTCCACTTCCAAGTGCTGTGATAACAAATGTACACCACCATTCCCTACTGCTACCATTGCTCTTTATAAACAATTGTAATGAAGTCACGTTTGTTTGAAGTACATTCATTCAAAGTTTTGCAAGATGTAGCTGTTTGCTACAATTCGGCTGTTAAAGGTACTCCTTAAAAGTTGTGTTCCTCTTTAAAATACAGAGACTTTCTCCCTCACTAAATAGAAAGGGTAACAGAGAAGGTCTAAGAAAAGTTTGGAATACAGAAATATATCTCCACTGACTGTACAACAGTACACAAGTCGGACATCATCCCCAGGCTTCTGCTTCTACTCAAAACAAAGGAGTCAGTCCCTGCTGTGAGGCCAGTACCTCTTTTGAACTGAATAATAATAATAACAATAATAATAATAACAAAATTCAGTTGACAACTTTAAGATTCCTTTTGACTCTCACATGGTACAAGTTTATGCTTCTGCAGTAATTTAAATTGATAATCAAATATCCATAACTAAGAGAACTTATATGAGGCAAAATAGCATAATTGAACAAAATCTCTCCTGTTAAAAGAAGCCCAAATTTCAGCTCCCTAAACATTACCTGGTCTGTTGCCTCTTCAGCCAATCTAATAAAGAATGCAGTCACATAGTTATTATTTCTTAGTTACATAAATTACTTTTAAATAATTTAAATCAATAAAAATATATTAAATCTATGCCTTAGTTTTCCTACATCCTGATTCTACAGTATTTTCAACTGCATTCAAGATACTCTACAGCTCAAAGCAGGCTAGTTAATAGTCTCACGCTTCTAAAATCTAGTGTAAACAAAAGAAAAGGCAGAATATTAATAATTATCATAGCCTGCCAAAGTTTTCATAAAAATATGTTGAATGCCATTTTTCAGAGTAGAAAAACAAGCAAAACAAATTCTGCTGACAATGTCAATCAGGTCAAATGGCTGTACCTGCCATTAGAAAAAGAAGGACAAAGCTAACGGAAACATAATCAGGGAAACTAAACCATGGCATTTCAGCCATCTTTCTGAAAATTAATTTGAACAGTTTTGGTAACAGCTCAGTAAGATGCTTTTTCTTTAACTGTGGACAGCAAAGGAGGCACTTAACTGCAAAAATAGAAAAATACGAAACTTCCTCATCTCATATTTAAAAAGGAATAAAAGATCAGGCTGAGAATGGCTCGTAGTTAAGGTGCTTACTGCTCCATCAGAGAGCTGGAGTGTGGATCCCAGCACCCACATGGACAGCTCCCAAACACCTGTAACTCCCAGACTCAAGGGAGCTAGCACCAACTTTTGGCCTCCTCCAGCAGATGCGCGCACGCATGTGCACGCGCGCACACACATACACTCTCTTTCTGTCACACACAAACATACATACAAATGCACACACACTTTCTCACAAACACACACACTCTATACATACACTCTACCACACACACACTCTCATATACATACATACACACTGACATACACACTCTCTCACACTCACATACTCTCACACACGCTCTTTCACAGATATGACACACAAATCAAATATTAAAAGAAATGCAAAGTAAAAAAGGTAATTATTATTCAGAGAGTTAAATTTTCACTTCTTATTCACCATGCACTCAAATGTTACACACCCTATATTAGAGAAAATATTCTGAAGACAGGACTGTCGCTCTGTTTATGAAACACAGGAAACACATCCTTTCCAAAGGATTCCGGAGTTCTGAGGATGAAATGCAAGCCTTCTCAACCTGAGTGCTACATACTTTGTTTCGTTTTTTGAAACAGGGATTCTCTGTGGCTTTGGAGGCTGTCCTGGAACCAGCTCTTGTAGACCAGGCTGGTCTTGAGCTCACAGAGATCTGCCTGCCTCTGCCTCCCGAGTGCTGGGACTAAAGGTGTGTGCCACCAACGCCCGGCCAAGTGCTATGTATTTATAAACTAGGGAAGTACAGCCACCATGATGTACCTGTCAGCAAAGACTACCATGTGGTCCTCAACTTTAATTTGGAAGGAGCAGAACTTTTGTTTTATATACTTCCAGTTAAGGGGGTTCTAATGGCTGTAACAGAGTAATTGATGATATTTAGTAACTAAATTTAGAGAACAGAAGTATTGCTGGAATTTTAAAGCACTGTTTGTACTTTGTGCTATTAAATGATACAGAACATTCTAAAATATACAACGCCAAGCTCCCAAATGTCACCTTTGATTTACAGATGTATCTTCAACATTCCAACAAATATTGTCATTTCTAAAAACACAGGTATATTCTTTTTTAGGTTTATTCTTTTCCTTTTCTTTCTTTTTATTTTTTTTTCATTGTTGATGTTTTTCTTGTTTTATTGTTAGGTTTTTCTGTTTGTTTTGAGATAGTGCCTCACATGTAGCCCTGGCTGACCAGGAAATCAGTATGTAGACCAGGTTGTCCTTGAACTCATAGAGATCTACCTGCTTCTGCCTCCCCAGTGCTGGGGTCAAAGGCATGTCCTACCAGACCCAGCCTGGTTTATTTGTTTATTTTTTTTTAATCACCACAATTAAATTGTCTTTCAAAGGTGGCACTTTTCAGTGATTAGATGAAAACATCCTTTTTAAAAATGCATTCCCACATTCTCCCCCAACCCCCATGGTTTCTCTAAAGGGCAGACAAGCCCTTTCCTGTCTCCTCACCCCTTCTGCCCTGTCTCTGTGTCTCTTACCTTTTTCCTCTTTCCTTATTTTCTTATCTCCCCCTCAATAAAACATTCAATATGGGGGGGGGGGAAATGCATTCCCAATCTATCAGTAGCAGGATTTTAAACGTTCTTCACTTTGGGACAATGGTCAAGAGTGAAGTAAGGACAGAGACACAGCTCAGTGGCACAGTACTTACCTAGCATGCACAGGGCCCTAGATTTGGTCCTCTCTCTCTCTCTCTCTCTCTCTCTCTCTCTCTCTCTCTCTCTCATACACACACACACACACACACACACACACACACACACACACACACACACATACACGGTGAAAAATGAATAATTTTGGCCCTTCTAGTGGAATACATAAAGAAATAAAAGCAAGAAGGACTGGAGAGATGGCCTCAGAGTTTAAGAGCACTGACTGCCCTACCAGAAGTTGAGTTCAATTCCCAACAACCACATGATGGCTCACAGCCATCTATAATAAGATCTGGTGCCCTCTTCTGACATGAAGACAGAACAGTATATACATAATAAATAAATAAATCTTTTTTAAAAAGAGAAATAAAAGTAAGGAACATAATGATGAATGCATTCTGATTTCTTACAACATATTTCTTCCCAAACTATTGGCACATAAATGTCAGTAGGCTACAAAAGCAGCATTATTTCAAGTGATAAATCTCAGTTCTGCTTTCTCCATATCAAAGAGAAAATCTTTGCCCAAGTAAGCCCAAGTAATCCTATATGGAATAATTTACTTCAAAACTGATCTACAAATTAGCTAAAGTTTGTCATGAGGCAACTTAATCACCCCACTTAAAAATCTCATAATCTAGAGGTTAAGCTGATAGTTGAGTGTCAGAGCACACGCTTACCATTCTCAGGGCATTCTCTGGTTTAACCGCCAGCACACACATGCACACACACACACACACACACACACACACTCCTATAAACCTATTCTCCCTAAATGTTCTTATATAAGAAGGCTTTCTTCAACTCAAAGGGGAAAAAACATTTTATGTCCAAGGAGACTGTCCAGCCAATTTCAGTGGTTCATAGTCCTCATATGCTTTACATATATATTCTTTACTATGTAATTAAGAAGAACCAACTTCTCCTGTTAAAATTGCCAAAACTACTTCAAGAAACTGTTTTTGAAAGGAAATATGTAAAAGAAACATTGTTGGTGTCATTATTAAGAAATAAAGTGCATATGCCTTTTAATATCAATATTTTTAGTACATTAGTACAATCAAAACGAAGACTTAGCTCAATATCTCAAATCTGAAAAATATGGGGGCAAGAATACAAGTTTCATATAAACAATAACAAAATGGGGGAAGGATTGCTCCTTTGCAAAAGAAAAGAAACAACTGAAAACATTAAGAAATCCAAGTGAGTTTCTGTCACTGCTACACAATGACACCCACATGCAACACCTGAAATGTAGCATCACATTCCGGGGACTGCCCTTGAACGTCTGCACTTAACTCACATTTCTCTGGTGTCTGGCTAATCCCATCCTGTAAAATGGGAGATACTCTGTGAGCCTCACTATGAGATGAGGCATCTAAGCTTTCCGGAGAACAGTCTACCTGGTACATACTGTCTCCTGCCACATCGTCCTGAGAACAGGCTACGTGGTACATACTGTCTCCTGCCACATCGTCCTGAGAACAGGCTACGTGGCACGTACTATCTCCTGCCACATCGTCCTGAGAACAGGCTACGTGGCACGTACTATCTCCTGCCACATCGTCCTGAGAACAGGCTACGTGGTACATACTGTCTCCTGCCACATCGTCCTGAGAACAGGCTACGTGGCACGTACTATCTCCTGCCACATGGTCCTGAGAACAGGCTACCTGGTACATACTGTCTCCCGCCATATCGTCCTGAGAACAGGCTACGTGGCACGTACTATCTCCTGCCACATGGTCCTGAGAACAGGCTACCTGGCACATACTGTCTCCTGCCACATGGTCCTGAGAACAGGCTACCTGGCACATACTGTCTCCTGCCACCTCGTCAGAGTCTGTCCTCTGTTCGGCGTCATCTAGCTGCTGGACTGAAGTTAAATACTGTTCGAGCAGCGTGTTATCCTGCTCACTGTTGGAGCTTTCCTTACTACAGCAACCATGCTCCTCAATCATGGCCTCTGAGCTGGGGTCTCTGCCGTGTTTCACTGTGTCCATGGAATTCCCCAACATGGAGCTTTCGCTGCTTTCTATGGAACTTTTTTCAAAATCCAAAGAATCCTTCAAACATCGAACTTGATCTGTTAGGGAGGAATGAAAACCAGAGTCTGGAAATTCCGGAAGAGATTTCTCTTGAGGAGCTTCATCCTCAGCAATGAACCAATCAGAACTCTGATCAGAAGAGGGGCCTTGACGTTGTGGAAATAATGGAGGTTTAGGTGACACCAGAGTACTTGATATAGGAGGCACATCAGTATGCCAGGAAATCAGACGCTGCTCCACTGTCTGCTGCCAAGCTTGTAGAGATCTTACCTGTAAACCAGAAGGCACAGCTTTATCATAAATAAGATTTTTAAAAAATCCTCCCTTTTGGCCTGGCGGTTGTGGTGCACTGGGGAGGCAGAGGTAGACTGATCTCTGGGAGTGTGATGCCAGTCTGGTCTACAGGCTGCAAAGCTATAGAGAAACCCTGATTCAGAAGACAAACAAACAAAACTCTTCCCTTTTTAAAATGGCCTGAGCTTTGTTTTCCCAGAAGTCCTGTGATTGCCTTTATTCGTTACTCCCCTATCCTCTTCATAGGCCTCCCAGCCTAACCAGGCATCCACACTGTTCTGTGTCCTTGGGAGTAAAGGGCAATCACCAACACAGAGAATTGCCAAAGCAATTCTCTTGCTTCACTGGAAAAACAATGAGAAGTACAATAGCATTTTAGCTCCCTAACTAAGGGTCAATGATGCACAGAATATAGACTGGCACCTAGTCAATAAGGCCCATTAGCATCTGAGGGTATAAGTAGAGCCTCTAAAATTGGTTTATTTTAGATATACTTGCAGACATAGATTTCCAGTTATTTTAAAATGTAGTATTTATAACTTTATAGAATGGCTAAAAATATTCCCAAGTTCTTGACAATATGACATTTTATATCTTAATATATAAAAATAATTTCAAATTTTTATTATAAAAAGTGGACAGGGCAGTGGCAGCGCACGCCTTTAATTCCTGCACTCAGGAGGCAGAGGCAGGTGGATCTCTATGAGTTTGGGGCCAGCCAGATCTACAAAACAAGTTATAGGACAGCCAAAGCGATTACACAGAGAAACCCTGTCTCAAGAAACAATTAAAAAAAAAAAAAAATGCAAGCAAGAGGTAGGAGGGATGGCTCAGTGGTTAAGAACTCTTGCTACTTACTCTTCCAGAAGACCAGGGTTCAGTTCCCAGCATCCCCACAGCAGACAGCAGATCACAACCATCTGTAACTCCAGGTTCTAGGGTTCTACTACCCACTTCTGGCCCCAAGGACATTGTACATTACATACATGCAAGCAAAACACCCATATACATAAATCTCTCTCTCTCTCTCTTTTTTTTTTTTAATTGCCAGCAATATAGAGTAGCTCGGCTGCCTAGCATGCATAAGGCCCTGGTTTCAAGCCCCAGAAGCACATGAGTCCGTTGTGATGGTGCACATCTGTAACCCAACCAATTGTGATGTGCAGGCAGGAGGATCAGGAGTTGAAGGCCACCCTCAGCTATAGAGAGTATATGGCTAGCCTGGACCACATGAGAACTCTCAAAAATAAATAAAACAGAATTCGTCTCACTGTGACTACCAGGTTCTCACTACATAGCCCTGTGCCATCAAGTACTTTCTGATATTGATTGGGAGTATATCTTTCCAGGGCTTTTACTATATAGTCTCATATACTTACAGTTTTAATAGTTTAAATTACTCTTTAAATTTCTGTATGAGGGCACACACATGCTTGTGGAAGTCAGAGGACAACTTGCAAGAGTTGGTTCTTGCATTTCATCGTGTGGTCCCAGGGGCCAAACTCAGGTTGTCAATATTGGTGACAGGCACCTTCACCCAGTGAAGTAGCTCACTGGCCCTCAGAGAGCTTTTAACACCAAGTGGATGTGAAACTCCATCTCTTACTGTTGTTAGTATTATTCTAGAGCTCTTTCCAGGTCAGTCCCTATGACTACTTTATTCTTTTTAATTGTCCCACAATAGTCTATAATGCTGTTAATTTTTACAATTTATTTAACCAGTTCCCTACTAATGGTAAATAAAAATTCTTAAAAAATTAATTATCTTGCCAGGTGATGGTGATACTCAGAAGACAGAGGCACATAGATCTCTGTTGTGAATTCAAGGCCAGTCTGGTCTACAGAGCGAGTTCCAGGACTATTAGGGCTGTTACACAGAAAAACCCTGTCTAGAATAGCCCCAAAAAAAAAAATTATCTTAATATATAGGTTGTATATAGTTATAACCTTTTTATTATGATATTTCTAAGAAAAAAGATATTTGTAAAATTTTTTAAATATTTCTAAGAAATTATCAGGAAATTTTTTTATTACAGTATATCACTGTAATATTTTAGAGTTTTGCCATACTAGTAAAACCAAAGGCTTAAAATGACTTTGGGCAAGGCAGCGATGGTGCACACCTTTAATCCCAGCACTTGAGAGGCAGAGGCAGGTGGATCTCTGTTGAGTTAGAGGCCAGCCTGATTGACAGAGTTCCAGGACAGCCAAGGCTACCCAAGGAATCAAAAAGATTTTGGTCTCACTAGGCATTTTTTGTGTTTACATATACAGAGAAATCAGCAGCGGGGGTTTACCTCATTCCAAAGGAATCTGACAGCCTCTTCTTGTACAAAAGTTTTTACACGTTCTTCATCTCTTTCTTTTCTTAATCTACAACGATTCAAAAGATCATGATGACATAAGGAAGAATGCTTTGACTTAAACTTCCTGTTACTAACAACTACTAAGCAAATGCATTAGAAAGAGATTAATGACCTAATATCAACTGCTTCCACTGTTAGAATATCTAAGCTCTAACTTTATTTAAAACTATGCTTCAAGACAAGCCAGATGAGATGTATCTGAAACTGAAATTACATATTCATTCTATAAAGTATTACTAAAGGGGAGATGTTTACATAAGTGTGAGTATGTGTACATATGCTTATGTATTAAATATCTCTATTTGTCCTTCAATAGTGGCCTACAAAAGGCTGGTTATACAAAGATTCCAAAAGTTAACAGTCACACTTGTGGGATGTTCATGTTCTGCATGTTCCAAATACAGGACAGGAAGGAAGGCAACCTCTAAGGCCTTGAAATATTTACCTGAGCAGACTATCTTTGTAAACCTGAGGTATTGAGTTGCACTAGAGTTTACACTAACAATGTGATTCCTAGTGAAACCCTGTTTTGCTCCTCCCCTGAGACCCTCAGAGACTGTACCAGTTTACCTCTAGGGAATGAGAAATCTAAGAAAGGTCACTCACATGAGCACTGAGTGCCTAAATTACTGACCCCAATAAAAACCATGGCTCGAAATGCTCAGGAAAGCGTTTCTAGTTGGTACTACTTTGTAAGCATCATCACACATTCCAGCGATGGGAAGTAAGTCCCAGACCTCTATGAGTTAACTGGGAGAGGACCTCTAGAAGCCTGCAACCTGGTCTGCCCTGTTTTAATCTGTATGTATCTGCTATAATAAGCAGCAACCATGAACAGAACAATTCCTGAGTTCTGTAAGTCCCTTTAGCAAATCATGGAACCTGAGGACAGACTTGAGGGTCGCCAATTACAGCAATGGCTAAATCTAGCATCATTTCTCTACCCTTCACTTCTCTACCCTCTCACTTCTCCTGAAACATTTTGCCCTACTAGAACTGAATATAATAAACTCTCTTGGCTGTTCCTTCTCAGGCTCCTGTGCTACTTTCTCCTAAGCCACCTATAACAATAATAGACACCATTAGTTCCAATATTAATGAACTCCTAATTGTTGTAGGTTGGCAGTCAGCCAAACATATGCCTTGGAACTGAGGAATAATTCCTACCTTAGTCCCAGAGTTTTAGTCCCTTTGGAATCCCTGATATTTTTCTCTAGCTCTTACATCATCTAATTGGTTCTATGTGGACTTTCTCTTCATCCTCATCCAGTTCTTCTACACTATCTACTTCTTTGTTGAGCATCATAGATGCCTATGTGGTCACAGCCACTCAACATCTCAACATCTTCTGTGATACTACAAGTGTGTACCAACTGCTATGCTGAGAATGGAGATACATATGGCAATTTGTACTCTCATGATGCTTCCAATACATCATTGGAGATGAGTACACCAACAGCGGCCACCTAGTGTCATGACCACAGTAGCAGCGTTCTAAAACAACTTCAGAACCGGGCATTCCAAGCCAACAGAAAGCAAGCACAGTTCCCAGCCTACCTCCTTACTTCATCTGTCAGGCAGACAATGTGCTCCTGCATTCTACGCAGCCGGATTTCATAGCGTACCCCTTTGGCTTGTGGATTGTAGTTCCTGGTATAAAAGCCCCGCCAACAGGCCTGAAGCTTAGTGGCAGCTGCATTCCGTTTCTGAAGAGTGACTTTATCTTGTCCCAAAGCAGCAGATCTCTGGGTAAAAACCCTGCAGGGAGATTTCTCTGAAGTGGTAGGAGACATGGTTTCTTCACCGTTTGGGTCTATGCGGGACACACTATGTTCAACTGCCTCCGGGAAAGATGTAAGACCATGCTTATCCTCCTTCAACAGCCCAGAATTCTCATCTACTTCCTTACTCATCTTACTTTTCAGCATTTGAACAGAACTCTCATTTGTATCCCATAAAGGCTTTTCCTTGTCCTGGTTTTCCAGCCTTTTCATGGATTCATCTGCAAAATCATCATCATCTTCTAGACCCAAGTTGATGCCCTGCAGCCTCAGCTCAACAGTGGGTGACACTGGAGACAGCCCTGATGCAACTGGCATAAAAGTGGACTCTGAAGAGAGCAGACTACAGTTTAGTTTGTCCTCATCTGTCTGTATGTCTTCCAGGTGAAGGTCATTCCGAGCATATCTTGTAGGGTGTGCCGACGCTGGGAAGTTATTCTTCACAGCATATAACTGATCATCATTACTGCTTATCCCAACCCAAGAATTGATTTGGAGAACAGGTTCTAGAAGAACCAAAAGAGCATCATTTAAATCACCAAGTATTTGAAGAGCTTTTTATTTTCTTGAAGGATGGGGGCGGTTAGAGACATGGTTTCTCTGTGTAGCTTTGGAGCCTATCCTGGCACTCACTCTGGAGACCCAGCTGGCCTTGAACTCACAGAGATCTGCCTGCCTCTCCCTCCTGAGTGCAGGGACTAAGGGCATGTGTCACCACCACCCAGCTGAAAAGTCTTCTTAGTTGTATACTTAAAACATTTTTTTACATTTATTTATGTTCTATGTGTGAGTGTGTGTGCATATGTGTGTGTGTGCATATGTGTGTGCATATGTGTGTGTGAGTGTGCGTGCATATGTGTGTGAGTGTGTGTGTGCATATGTGTGTGTGATTGTGTGCGTATGTGTGTGTGAGTGTGAGTGTGTTTGTGTGCATATGTGTGTGTGAGTGTAAGTGTGTGCATGCATGCCATAGTCTGCATGCAGAGGTCAAAGAACAACTTGTAGTACTCAGTTTCCTTCCACCACGTGGGTTTGAGGGGTTCAACTTTGAACTCAGGTTGGACATCAATCACCTTTATCCACTGAACCATCTCCCTAACCCCTTGGTTGTTTCCTTTTAACAAAATTTAATCCCTAAAATATAGTAAAGGACAGTAAAGTGATTGCCTCCAACAGGACTAAAATGTCAAACCAAACATTTTTAAGAAAATAAATTTCTTGGTGCTGGAGATATGGCTCAGTGGTCAAGAGCACTGGCTGCTCTTACACAGGACCTGAGTTTGATTCCCAGCACTCATATGGAGGCTCACAGTGGAATTCCAGTTCCAGGGAATCTGGCTCCTTCTGGCCTCTGTAGACACAGACATACAAACAGCAAAACACACGTACACATAAAAAAAATAAAACAGAGCCAGGCACTGGTGGCGCACACCTTTAATCCCAGCACTCAGGAGGGAAAGGCAGGCAGATCTCTGTTAGTTCGAGGCCAGCCTGAGCTACAGAGCTAGTTCTAGGACAGGCTCCAAACAATACAGAGAAACCCTATCTCAAAAAACCAAAAAAAAAAAAAAAAATTCTTATTTAAAAAAAAAAGGAAAGTGATTTGTTAAAATAGGGGTGGTGGCTCATGCCTAAAATTCTAGCACTTGAGGACAACATTACTAAGTCTATACAAAGATAACTGTCCACAAAATGTTTTTGTTTTGTTTTTCTTTTACTGTGCATATGTCTATGTCCATGAAGCCCAGAAGAGCGCACTGGATCCCTTATAACTGAAGTTAAATTTGAGTGAGCTACCTGATGTGGGTGCTAGGAACTGAGCCCTGGTCCTCTCGAAGACCAGGAGGCGCCCTTAACTTCTGAGCTATATCTCCAGCCCCACAAGAAATCTCTTTTAAAATATGGGGCTGGGAGGGTGTTGAGATGGCTCAGCAGTTGAGAGCACTGGCCGCTCTTGCAGAGGGCCCAGGGTTCAGTTCCCAGCACCCACCTGATAGTTCACAACTGTCTGTGACTACAGTTTCAGGGGATCCAATGCCTTTCTGACCTCCAGACGCCTGTGTGAATACAGTAACATTAGCACCCTCACACTTGTTGGGAGACCCTGCTGGTCAGAGATTGTAGTCTACCATAGCCTGGCAGCTTTCTCTAAACTTGGCAACAGGGAGGACTCCCCCTACCCCCATGGGGACTTCCTACTCTCTACCTGCCCTTATTTGAAGGATGTTTCTAGGCCCAGAAGCCTGACTTACCTCAAGCATGACACTTGACATGGTTCCCTGCAAACACTCTTCGCCTGTGGTAATTAGTAACATGCTCTAGCCATTTCACAGGATCATTGGTGTCACTAACCCAGCCTTGTAATAGGAGCATGCCACTTAAAGCAAGTTAGGATTTGCCCCCAGGCTTCCCAATCCTATATATTCCTTATATCCTGGGATAAAGGTGAGCTGATTCACTAAAGTCATCTCCTAGAGGACTATCTCCATCATACCCACAGCCATCCGAACCCTGATCCCTGCTTCTGTACCCTCCAACCTCGAGGGCCAGTGCAACCAACAATCCTAAGGAAGAAGCAGAACAACACATACATGCATAAAGTAAATATCAAAAAAAAAAAAAAAAAAAAAAAAAAAAAAAACAGAGGAAGAGAGTCAGGAGGATTTGAAACAAGTTCAAGACCAGCCTGGGAGCTACATGGTGAGTTTCAGACCAATCAGAGCTACATAGAGACACCCTGTCTGAGGCAAACTGTTTTATGACCCAGTAGGTCTATGAGTTGAAGAAAAGTAGTGAAGCAAGCCGTTCTTGGGCATTGGGTATAAATGACTTCCTTACCGCTTTCCTGGAAGTCTTGAACAGGGCTGGAGCGCTCAGGTGTAAGGGGTACCCTTGTTTCAACAGGAGCAAGAGGAGACAACTCTTCACTTTGGCTTTGGTTCATCAACTGCCTCTGGTGAAACCTAGAAACCAATAACACCTGCTGTCATCTCCACAAACTAAGAAGAGATGCTCTTCTGCCTCCTCGGTTAACACACTAAGACAGAAACTTAAGAAGTCTGCAGGGCTATCTTTAGCCACTGGCAAACTACAGTTTCCATTGAAAGCACTGTGTAGAAAAAGTTGAGATTTTTTTTTTTAATTGTTTGATAAAGATAGGGATGGCAACGCATGCCTATAAAGCCAGCTCTGTGGCAACAGAAACAGTAGTTCAAAGTTACCTTCTCCACACAATGAGTTGAAGGCCAATCTAGTTTACATGAAACCCTGTCTCAATCTATATAATTAATTGTCCACATGACCTTACACAAACACAATTTCATATGCAAAAACACTGAAAGACAGGATCTCTGACAAGAGAGGTGATTACTAAACACACTGACCATGCTTGTTAATATCAGCATTAACATGCTCCATGAGACACCTATATTAAAAGGCCAAATACTTTTCTTAGGTGTTGTGGCTCAAACTTAGGGCCTAACACATCCAAGGCAGATCTACCACTGGGTTACAACCTTGGCATTGACAAATCTCCCATTCTGTTATATTGCTTGGCTCCCCCTTCAAGAACTGATTAGCAAAGCAACTGTCATGGAACAAGCCACACACACCATGTGGCTCAGCTTCTCTGCAATGATGAAAGGCCTGAGTATCCAGAAGTGTGCTCTCCTGCCACAGGAAAGTCTCAGGTACCTTCACTCTAAATCCCTCAGCTGCCACAGATAAACAAACAGGCTTACCTCTGTTTACTCAGAATCTTCTCTAGTTTGGCATCCTCTGCAGTTTGAAGACCCAGTGCAGAAGTAAGAGAACAGACAGTAGCCAGGTACTGCGCAAGCTGGATGTGCTGGCCAGGCCGATATGCTCGCCCCTTGCCTTGACTGTAGAGCCATTCAGCTTTCAAACTGGGAAATAAGGAAGAGGTGGTGGCTCAGGAGCAGTCAAAATACATTGTTGAGTAACAGTGACCTGCCTTCGAATTTACCTTATAACACCACTACATGATTTCCTTAAAAAAAAAAATTGTCCATCTTATTGCTTATTGATGGGTAGTGATGGTGGTGGTGGTGGTGGTGGTGGTGGTGGTGGTGGTGGTGTGTGTGTGTGTGTGTGTGTGTGTGTGTGTGAGAGTGGTGTAAGTTCCTGAGTGTACACGTGTGTGTAAAAACTCATGCATATATGCAGTAGAGGCCAGAGGTGGAGGCTGAGTATCTTCTTCTATTGCTCTCCATTTTAATTTCTGAGACAAGGGAACTCTCCCAGCTCACATTTCGGCTAGGCTGGCTGGCTAACTATCTGCTCATCTTTACCTCCTCAGCAAGGAGATAACAAACATGTGCTACAATCCCTGGTTTTCCTTCTATATTCCTAACTCATTTCCCTTGGTCTTATATTTTAATTTCTATCATAATTAGAGGCACTGTTCATACTAATAACTCCAAATATTTTAAAATAATTTTCAAAGCAACAATGAGCATTCTCTCCATTTACTTTGCCAAACAGAAGTAATCTATGAGCTCTCAATGGCAGTTTTAAAAAATATCTAATTGGTCATTCCTTTTTTTAAACTGGTAAATAGTAGGAATTAAATAGTGTTAATTCTTCATTTCCTATACAAAATCTGTCAATAAATACTTAGTTCACATAAGTAGGGTAACTAATAAAATGGACAGAATTTCATCATTTTGTAACCTTTAATGAATTAATGGTTTCAGGCATGGATCATGAGTAGCTACTAATAACAAAATAGCATCTAGACACTGAGTATGATCCCATAGTATCTACATAGTAGTCCTCCCTTTGAAACCTCAGAAGTAGCTGGGCATGGTGGTATACACGTTTAATCCTAGTGCTTAGGAGACAGAGGCAGGCAGATGTCTGTGACCAGGACAGTCTAGTCTACACAGTGAGTTCCAGGACAGCCTGCGCTATGTAGAAAGACCATGCCTCAAAAAATAAATAAATAAATAAACAGATAAATAAATAAAACCTCAAAACCAAGTCTGATCACATCATCATGCCCAATCACCAATTTTTAGGTGATACGGGGGAGAGGAAGAGGACAAACACACAGGAAATGGTCTGAGAACTACCAAGTTCTCAGCATAGCCTACCTATGGAGTATGCAACTGTAATAAACTACTGGTGTTATTTTTGTTGTTGCTTTTGGAGACAAGGTCTCAAGTAGTGGGGTTGACCTTGAACGTTCTATAGCTGAAGCTGGCCTTACTGCTTCCCTCTCCCAAGTGTTGTGATTACCAACTTGCTTGATATTTTAAGATACTAAAAAATTAGAACAGGCTGACGCTGTGGTTTACACGGTAGAGCATTGGTCTAGCATGCATGAATACTTGGATTCAATCTCAGGACCATATGAAGCCAGCATGGAAGCAGGCCTGGAATCCAAGCTCTGAGGAGGTGAAGGCAGAGGGATCAGATTACCCCCTGGCTATATAGAGACCCCACGAACAGCCAGGCTACACAAGACACTGTCTCAAAAGAGATAGAAATTTACCATCATAATATAAGATATGCCTCCTGGAAACAGTATTTTCTTGTCCTTTTTTTTTTTTTTTTTTTTTTTTTTTTTCCTTTTTGGTTTTTTGAGGCTGGGTTTCTCTGTGTAGCCCTGGCTGTCCTGGAATTAGCTTTGTAAATTAGACCAGCCTTAAACTCACAAAGATCTGCCTGCCTCTGCCTCCCAAGTGCTGCAATAAAGGCATGTGACCACCACCCAGCTCATATTTTCATTTTAAAATGCATTTATAGGGTCAGCAAGATAACTAAGCAGGTAAAAGCACTTGCTACTCAGACTTAATGTCCTAAGTTCAACCCCTGAAACCTACATAACAGGCCAGATTCAGTGGAATGCACCTGTTCACACAGCATTCTACAGCAAGAGACAGAAACAGAAGTGCCAGCAGGTAGTGGGACACCAAGCCTGAAGTATGAAACAGAAACAAAAACAGAAACCAAGGAGGTAGGAGAAGACAGCCATCTCCCAAAAGGATTTTTCAAAGTTAAGGCTAAAATTGTACTGAATCCATGAATGCATATTTTCTGAGGGCAGAAAAATGAAAGGAGGCATGTTAAAGAGAATAATCCATCAACCTTTCTATCTCCACATCCCAATTTCCTGAAGGCTCTGACTAAAAGCTCCAATGATCATGCAACAATCTCTAAAAGACACCGTCTTGGTGGGGCCAGGTTCCCAGCTCCAAGACCATCAGTGACTAAGGATGGTCACAGGCATCAGAAGGTGAGAAACAGTATAGTATATCTACTTCAAGTTCCAAATTAAACACCATGTGCAGTTTCCTAGAGGCATCATGAAAGGCCACTGGGTTCTTAAATATTATTAATACCCCCCTTTACACATATGATAGATAGCCAATAGCTTTTGTGGGATTAAGCCAAGATCTTATATCAAATACATAATGAAGTTTCTAGGAAAGAAAGTTACCATTTCCAAGCAATCACCAAAAGAACTTTTAGAACATAGATCGTTGTAAGTTTGGCATATAAACTTACTAGTTCCAACTTCTAGGGCTGATATTCACTTTTTTTTCATTAATATTTTTATTTTATGTATGTAAGTATTTTACCACATGCATTTGGAGGACATAAGAAAGTAGAGACTCACCAAGAACTAGAATTATAGTTGTGAGCCACCATGAGGATTTAGGGACTAACCCAGGAAGACCAGCCAGTGCTCACACCAGCGGAGCCATCTCTCCCTCGCGCAGCCCACCTCCTCTTTTCATATATAACTGCTCTGGAGTTGAGTATGATTTGAATTTCTGATCCTCCTGCTTCCATCTCTCCAGAGCTGGAATCCCAGGCATGCACCACCATGGCCAGTTTTAAGAGAAAACCAAGGCTTTGAAATCGTCTCAAGTGAAACAGGAGCTTGCTCTGTCCTGACTAGCCAGCAATCCATCCGTTTCTGCCACTCCTCCCCCATGCCAGGGTTATGGGTAAGAGAAGCCATACTTGGCTTTTTATATGGGTCCTGGGATTCAAACTCAGGTCCTCATTCTTGCAGAGTGAGAGAGAGTTTCAAACATGGCAGGTCTTACGTAGCCCAGGCTGTCCCAGGACTAACAATGTATCCCCGGATGACAATAACCACCTAATTCTTCTACCTGTGCTTCTCAAGTGCTGGCATTACTTGCATGTGCCACAACACCTGGCTCCCAGCCCTGATGTTTACCTTCTGGACTTTCTAAGAGAGAAGAGAAAATCCTAAATCACCAGCAAACAGTCTGAGCTGTGGTTATACCAGCATTTTAAACTTGTAAACACACACTTTAAAAAATTCAACAATTAATCTGTAACAAACTAGAAATGATCTTTCCAAAAAATTTCTTGATTGATACCACATTAGGCAGATCATGTTCACCTTTCCTTCTGAGAAATCACGTATCCATCTAGTACTCTGAGATTTAAGCACCAGCTGACGATGTACGGCCGATAGTCAAACCCTGGAATGGACGGTGTTGCCATCACACAAGGATTGTTCATGATTGACAACTGCTCCAATTCACTTAAAGAGGCCAAAAACGAGATCTAAAACAAAAGACATCCTTGTTGAGCAAAATGAATGTTCAGTGTCAAGCACAGGGTTTCCGCTGATTACATAATTTTGGCAGCATTTGAGAATGTCACAATTTCCCTCTTGTCCTAAAAAGCATAAAGCAATTCTCTACTATTAGCCACTGACTGTGGAAACTCTAAAAACCTGGCCATTTGTCCTTCCTGCACAAGAGAAAGTATCAGCATTATTTTCTACTTAAGAAAACCTTATCTACTTTCTTTGAGGTAGGGTCTCATTTAACCCAAGCTGATATTTAGCTTTATTCCTCCTGTTTCTACTTACTAAGTGCTGATGTTACAGACGTAAAGGACTTTGCCTAGTTTGAGAAAATGATATTTGAAAACATAATAGAAGCCAGGGAAAAGCTGCCTTATTGGCCCCTAATATAAGGTAGATGTCTCTCTCCTACCAATCACCAGTGATGATAATTGCAGCACTACAACTGGAATTCAGCCTGATGACCTCCAGGGTTAAGAAAAAGGAGAAAGAAAAATACTGATGCTCTAGTGACAGGTGTTTCACCAGGGAAGCAATTCTCCCAGATGGTCACAGTCTAAAAATGAGCTCGAGATGCCAGGCGGTGGCGGCACACACCTTTAATCCCAGCACTCAGGAGGCAGAGGCAGGCGGATCTCTGTGGGCTCAAGGCCAGCCTGGTCTACAGAGCTAGTTCCAGGACAGCGAAGGCTGTTACACAGAGAAACCCTGTCTCAACATTTCCCCTCTCCCCCTGCCCCATTGAGCTCAAGAACCTCTACTGTCTCTACTGGACTTCTCCTTCCTGAATCCCACAGAGTCTGGACTTTTTCCTTCCTGGATCCCACAGAGTTCTGGATTTCCCCTTCCTGGGTCACAGAGTCTGGACTTCCCCCTTCCTGGATCCCAGAAGGAAAAATCCCAGAGTCAAATTTTACCTCATTTAAGTCTCGGATTTCATTTTCTGCCAGAGACAATATAGAAAGACTTCTGGGTAGATACGCAGGTGCCATTCTAAGAGAGGTGATGATGTTCCCATGTAAAAGCAGGGTCTTCAAAGGAAAAAAAAAAAAATACAAATCAACAAATTAAATAAATTGAATTGACAATGCCAAAATGGTGCATGCAAGAATAAAAAGAGCTATTTTATTATACTTCTCATCACACATAATTCAAATATTAATACTGAGAAGGCTCCTGGTTTTTAGCCCAACAAGGGTTTAAGGCTTGTCCATGAACACATAGTTGATGTAGTTACTATCTAGTTATGGTATGATGTACTAGCATGCTACACAATTTAAGTTAATACACAAAGCAATTTCCAACATAGTTATTCATTTCCTTTTAAAATATCAAAATAAAGATGAGTGTGGTGGCACATGCCTTTAATCCCAGCACTCTGGAGGCAGAGGCAGGTGGATCTCTGTGAGTTCAAGGCCACCCTGGTCTACATAGCCAGTTCCAAGATAGCTTTATAATAAAAAGACTCTATATTTAAAAAAAAAGAAGAAGAAGAAGAAGAAGACTCAGCTTTAGGATGGATTACTTCAAACTTTACCAGAATATTATATATCGACTACAGCCCCTAGCTTTGGCTAGCTTAAAATGAAGGGAACTCATCACAATCAAAGGATTCGAAATAAGAGGTAATTAACTACAATGACTATTTTCACATAAAATAAATAAATCAAATATAGGAACTAGCAATCAATTTGGGAGGCATAAGCACTCTTATACCTCAAGATTACATAAGTAGTCTTGAGCTCAGGTAGCCAGGGCAATACAATGAGAGTTTGTGTCCAAAAGAGAACAGAAAAAAAAGTTCCTAAGTTTTTAAAACAAAGACAACTTGACATGCATATCAGCAAACACCTGTAAGTCCTGCATTCTGGAAAGAGGGAGAAAGAGCATGATGACCCTGAAAGGTTAGCCTGGGCTTTCCTGGGAGCCCCTTCAAAAGGAGACAGATAGGTTCTTAACATATAGTATATGCGGGCTGAGTTCATGCAACAAGACCACATTTTTAGTAGCGTTTTTATTTTCGGTAATTTGCAAGAAGTGCAGAAGACCCACTTACCTTCAAAGACATCAGCTTTGACAGATCACCTATCTGGGATATGTTATTGTCTGACAGGTCAAGGTGCTGTAGAGCTGTGCAGCTGTTGATTTGCTCCATGGTCTAGCACAAGAAGAGCATCACAGTATTCAGTGCACTTAAAGTCAAAACAAAATCATTCCCTAATTCTCTGTAGCTGGGTCCCCTGCCTCCTCTTGTCACTAGAAGCACAGCAGCAGAGCAGAGGCAGGAGGTTCTCTGTGAGTTCAAGGCCAGCCTGATCTACAGAGCCAGTTCCAGGACATCCAGAGCTGTTAACACAGAGAAACCCTGCCTCGAAAAACAAAAACAAACAAACAAAAAAGAATACTATATTGTAGCATATGTTCTAAATGGAGGCTTTTTAAAGTTTGTTGACACAGATTGAAGAAACAGAAATTTTTATTTCTTTACTTATTTCTATACATAGAAGTTTCTTCTTCACAGAGAAAAGATTTACTATGCAAAAAAAAATCTCAACAGTTAATTAGCAAGAAAAAAAGAAGTCATTCACCTTCAGATTATTTCCTGCTAAATTCAGCCATTCCAAATGGACTAGGTCCTTCAGCCCTTCCATGCAGCCAATACTATTATGAGGTAAATTTAATACCCGAAGTTGAGTCAGTTTGGCCACGCCCATCATCCGAACCAGCCGATTATTAGCTACTGACAACTGTGAAAAAGGAACATTATTATTCCTAGAATCAAATATACATGTCCACACATATTACTTTCACATCATGGTAGATGGCCAAACATTCCCAAATAGCAAACCCAATTTATATATTTACACATATTATTTACATTTATTACCTACAATATAACTACTGGAGTTTGTTGTTCTAATCAACAATACATATGTATGTATGTATACACACACACATATAGCCTGTTATGGGATAATCAACTGATGCCTGCTCCACAGGAAGGAATTCCTGTATGTTACTATAAACCCAGCCAAACACCCATGGCCGGGGATGACCTAAGCCTGTGAAGAAGCTCCTGATGTTTTTTGCTAAATGGACACAATGTACCCATCAAATTGCCTTCTAAATGACTACAAGCCCCACAGAACAGTGCTGCTGTCAGCTCTATTCAGAGCAGCCTCCTTTGCAGTGATGAGTGCTGATCAAAGCACAGGAAGATCATAAATAGGCGGGACATCTGTAACATCCCCTCCAAGGCTCCAGGAGTGTGGTGGGAGAAAGAGTAGAAGGAATGTAAGAGCAGGGGAAACGGGGAAAGACGTGGAATACTGACTTCTGGGTATGACACTGCTATTGTGGGTTTTGTTTTGTTTTGTTTTTTTCCTGGAGGTGGGGAGTAGAATTTAGAAGGCCTTACTCATCCCTGAGAGTTACTAGGATTACTAGTTAATGGTTGGTGGAGGAGGGAAAGACATTTTCTTCAGAGGTGTAGTCACTGGTAGGGTGTCTATGCTCCCATAAACAGACTCTCACTCATGCCCCTCATGAAATTTACTGAGTCACAAAAAAGGGTCTGGGAAAAAAGAGAAGGAAGAGTGACGGGAGATGTCATTCTGTAAATATGTTTCTCATACTGGTTAATAATAAAGCACTGTTGCCAATAGGAAAGCTAGATAGGCGAGACTAGGAGACAAGGAGGAAAGAGGAAGTGGTAAGGAGGAATCAAAATGGAGAGTCTGGAGAGAGCAGGACGCCAGCCGGCTCTCCGTTAAGATGAGACCATGTGGAAATACATAGATTAATAGAAATTGGTTAATACTTAAGACAGAGCTAGCCAATAAGAAACTGGCCAACAGCATTATATCAAATACGGAGTCTCGGTGTGTTATTTGGGGCTGGCGCGGTGGTGGGACCAGACCAGTGGCGGGCAGAAAAACAATACTCCTTACAGAAGAGGAGGAGGAGATATGAAAAAATAGAGACCACTGGAGAAGGATTAGAGGGAATAAAAAGGAAACGATAGAGGGCAATGGCAATGTTTGTGATACAAATACATTATATACATATTCAGAAATAAAATATATTCATATTCAAAAACCCAGTAGTATGCATAATCAACATATGCTTACACAAAGTACAGACAAAGCTGACAGAGGCTTCTGTCAATTACTAAAAACATCTATGTGTAGATGGTGGATGTTGGAGGGTGAGGGTGTGTGTGTGTGTGTGTGTGTGTGTGTGTGTGTGTGGCCTATGTTTATGTGTTGCATGTATGAGAGTATATAGATGCACATGCCCATCTGTATACACACACTATCTAGAGCAGGACTTTGGGTATCTCCCTCTAGTACTCCCTGCCTGATCCCTTTGAGACAGGCTCTCACTGATCTGGAAGCTCACCATTATGGCTAAGTTGGCTGGCCAGATAGCTCTCAGCATCTGCCCATCACTGTGTTAAATGTAAACTACATGCCTCAGTCAAAACTAGGGCAATGCTAGGTATACTGACAGGGACCAAATAAACATCTCTTTTTTGTTTGATTGTTTTGGTACAGTACTGACAATTAAACGTAGGGCTTTGAGAGTGCTGAGCATGTACTCTTAGCACTCAAGTACATCCCAAATGTTGGTTTTCAGGCATCTGTGCTGGCCTGTCTTTGGGGTTCTGACAGGATAAGCCTTCTAAGAGCACCACCTGTGCATAGTCACTATGTTCCCTTTTAAAAGTGCCCTGCCCACCTCCCATCCTCCCCTCTCTCCCTCTTCCTCCCTCCCTCCCTCTGTCGGTTCCCCTTTCTCTTTTCTCTCTCACTCCCCTCCCCTTTCCTCTTTATGATCCCTTTCCCTAATTTAAAAAAAAAAAAAACCCTCTGCTTGAACCCTGTCTCCTGGCATCTTTCTCTTTGAGTGCTGCTTTTCTTAAATTACAACACCAAACCCAACATTCTTGGATGAATAAGGTTTTTACCCATAATATGAAGGAAAAATTATGTTAACACAATATTTTGTCAACATATAATGTTCTCTTTGAATATATACATTTATGGGAGTAGAAAGATGGCTTAGCAGTTAAGAGCACTTGCTGTCCTTCCAGAGGATCAGAGTTCAGTTCCTAGCACCCAAATAAGGTGACCCACAACCAGCTTCAGAAACTGATAATTCCTTTTAGCCTCCACATGTACTCATACACATGTGGCACATATTCATACAGTGTGTGTGTGTGTGTGTGTGTGTGTGTGTGTGTAAATAAAAATAAAATAAACAAGAAATTTAAAGCCTGGCAGTACTGGTGGCAGTAGCATACACCTTTAGGAGGCAGAGGCAGGTGGCTCTGTGAGTTTGAGACCAGCCTGGTCTACAGAACAAGTTGCAAGACAGGCTCCAAAGCTACAGAGAGACTCTGTCTCAAAAACCAAAACAAAAAAAGAAAGAAAGAAAGAAATTTAAAATATTTAAAGAGCAGTGTGTCTGTCTGTCTCTCTGTCTGTCTGTCTCTCTCTCTCTCTCTCTGAGTATGTTCAAGCATCACACTTTCCAGACACTCTTGAGCAACAGCACATATGCAAATGCCACCAACATATTCTCAGAAGTCGGTTCTCTCCTTTTGCTTGTGGCACACACATACCAAACTCAGGTCTCCAGGCCTTTGCCTAAGCACTCCCACCTACTGAGCCATCTTGCTGGCCCAGTTCCCATTAATTAATGATGCTTCTTTTTCTAAAAGATCACTGTAAATGTGATGCATGTATCCATCTTCAGAAACTAGACTATAAAACTTTAAGGCAACATTTACTGCTTTTAAGGCATATAGAATAACTTCTTGGTTTCGTTTAATAACAGTCTTATGTAACCTATACCCACCTGTATTAACTGTTTGCATTTCTCTAGATTTTCCAGTTTAATAATCTGATTTTTATCCAGAATCAATGTGTGGACATTAGGGTCAAAGGGCATGTTGGGCCCTAATTTCTGTAGTCCCTGCCCTGACCAGTTCACCACTGATCCTAGAGAAGAGAAGACAACATGTTAGAAAGCAAATATAACAGCTGTGCTTAGCACTTTACACTGATGAAAAAAAAATGTATACACATTTAAAACACACCAGAACACAATAAATAAAAGAGTTTAAAAATTATAGCAGTCCAGAGCTGGGGTGATACATTTTTTCCTCAAAATTTGCAAGTTACGGACTCAGGGATAGCTCAGAGGCAGAGACCTTGCCTAATTTGCAAGGCCCTGAGGTTCCCTTATTTTGTATCTAATAATAGTGTTTTTTAAATAGGGTTTTAAAAAGTTTATCTTTTCCTTTCTTCCTTTCTTTCTTATTTGTTTTGTTTTTCAAGACAAGGTTCCTCTGTGTAGCTTTGGAGCCTCTGTAGACCAGGCTGGTATTGAACTCACAAAAATCCGCCTGCCTCTGCCTCCCCCAAATGCTGGGATTAAAGGTGTTTGCCACCACTGCCTGGTTGGTCTTAAATTTCTTTTTTTTGAGGTGTTTTGTTTTTTCTGGGTTTTAGTTTTTTTTTTCTAGGTTTTATTTTTTTCCTTTTGTTATCCTTCAGGTTTTGTTTTGTTTTTTCTTTGTTTTGGATTGGTTTTTTTTTTTTTTTTTTGCCGTTGTTTTATTTTGTGTTGAGGAGGGTCTAAAGCTGACCAGGCTAGCATAAACTCTCTATGTGCATGAGTCTGGATTTGAACTCCTAATGTTTCCTCCATCTCCCAAATACCAGAATTATAGCTATCACAACACCAGGCCCTAAAACTGAATTTTATAGAGATCAAACTGTAACCTAACTACAAGTATATCTTCAAGTGCCTAAAATAGTGTGTATGGTGGGGGACACATCATGCATGCCTGGGAAGGCCTGAAGAACATGCTGGGTGTCCTGCTCTGTCCTTTTTTTTTTTTTTTTTTTTTTTTTTTTTTTTTTCCCATTCTCTTGATGAACACTCTCTCACTGAACCTAGAGGCCTAGAGCTAGACTGGAAGCCAACAAGTCTCCATGCATTCAGGCACGCATCTGGGCCTCTTCGAAGGGACGATAGAGATTTCAACTCCAGCCCTTGTGCTTTTCATAGCAAGTGCTCTTACCCACTGAGCCACCTCTACAGCCCTCACTTCGTTTTTGAGGCAGGGTCTCTCACTGGCCTGGAACTCATCAAATAGAGTAGGCTGATTGGCCAGCAAGCACCAAGGATCTGCCTCTATCCACCTTCTCAACACTGAGATTACAAGCTCCTGCTGCCAAACTCGACTTTTTCCTTGGGTTTGGAAATACACACCTTTAATTTTAGCACTGGGGGAGGCAAAGGCAGGAGGGAATTCTGTGAGTTTTAGGCCAGTGACAACTACATAATGAGACCCCTGTCGTGAAGAAGGAAAACAGTGAGAATATAAATATTGTTCTACATAAAAACATGAGATAATATAAGAAAAGTGCCCAAAATATCATCTGGCTTTTAAAAAGTGGCTCTGTAAATGCTAACTGCTGCTTGTCTGTTGTCTTGGAGAGCTGGCTAGAGGTTTAGGAAAGGCAGCTACCCTAGGGGGCGGGGCCAGAGTAACTGCCAACTTCAAATTTACTATCAGACTGGGACTACCCTGGGAAATAATTTTTCGGAACTGCTCTTCTAGAAGGTTTCAACGTTTTTCTGTTTTCTTTGCACGGGAGGGGTCGTGAGCCGCTTCTTGGAAGATGAAAACTATGCTGTCCCAGAAAAGCGCACCCAGCGTTTGCACACTATTCCGAGGGGTCCACACACCTTTTAGCCGAACTCCTCCCCTCAAGAATTCAGGGTCCCCAGACGGTCAGCCCCGACTCCAGTCTGCTCCAACCCAGCCAGCTGCTACCTCGCCTCAGAGTGTAACCAAAACAAAAGCTCAGTCCTGCGCCCCATGGAGGCATCTCCCAGCTACAGGCGCGCCCCTCGCCTGTGCTCGGCTAAACAAAGACCAAACTCGATCCCTGGACCCGGCCTGCAGAATGACACGGGGAGCAACGCGTGTCCTGGTCACCCCCAGATTCGATCACGGGTACCGGCCACTTCCAAGGAAGAGTTCAGAGACTATGATGCGGTATCAGATAAGATGCTTCCCGAACGTTCTCGGAACCGATGGGGGGAGGGGGAACAGAGGGAAAAGAAAGAGACTCTGCCACTTTCCCGTGGGTACTCGGAACTCAAAGTAAACGCCACAGAAAGGTCGCCGCAGCCCGAAGTCCACTGCCCAGTCAGGCTAGGGAGAGCGCGGGACGGGGGCGCCAGGCACCGCGAAGGCTCCTGGGGAGTGAAGTCCCTCATCCAGCCTTCACCGCAATGACGCCAAACTGGACCTGGAGAGCGGACTACAACTCCCAGTAGGTAGTGTGCCTCCGCGTTACCTACAGCCCCGCATCAAAAGAACTGGTCCAAAACTGCACCTCTAAACCCAGGCTTCCTCTTTACCCTAAGCAACTAGGTAATATGACGTAGTGAGGTAGACTTTGGAGTTTAGGGATGGGAATCATCCTACCTTCTCCCGGAGCCAGAGCCCCGTCGGCTCGCGCTACCGCCATGCTTGCCTCTTGCTAATGACACCAGGCAACCGTCCTCAGCCGTTCTGTAGACTGTGTAGTCAGCAGAGGGGAACTGCAAACTACAACTCCCAGGATGCACAGCACTTAGCCGGCCCAATCGGCTGCCTGATGGGAATCGCTGCCTAGAAAAGTGAGTGTGGTTAAAAAAAAAAAAAAAGAGCTTAGGGGGACCCTGACAGGTGAGCAAGCTGCATCATTAGGTAAATCATTTCACACCAGGTCCAGGTGTTTGAGAAATCTGACACTTCTACCACCTGTCACATTATAAGGACGTTATTTAAAGTAAACAATTTGAGAGCTCATTGCTAGAAGTTTCTGACAGCTACCCATTTTGACAATTCTGAATTAAGTTTAAAAGGTTCGATTCGCTGTAGGAATGACTAAATATTTTGAGACAGTCAAAATGGATACATTGTACTTGAATTTTCACCTATTTAAATGGTTTAAAGCTTCAGAAACAGTTTTTACACATTTAACAGAGCTTTTGAGCAAGGACTATTTTTGATACATAAGTGCACAGAACTTTTTCTGGAGTATTCAAAAGAAATGTAAAGAGGCAGACAGATCTCTGCGAGTTTGAGACCAGTCTGATCTACAAGAGCTAGTTCCAGGACAGGCTCCAAAGAAGCTACACAGAAAAGCCTTGTCTCACAAAACCAAAAAAAAAAAAAAAAAGAAGGAGGAGAAGGAGGAAGTAGAGGAGGAGATGAAGAAGAAGAAGAAGAAGAAGAAGAAGAAGAAGAAGAAGAAGAAGAAGAAGAAGAAGAAGAAGAAGAAGAAGTTCTTTAAAATAGCTTCCGAAGTGAAGAATACTTACTTTGCCTAGAAGGGCACAAGCTTATCCTTTTTTGATTTAAGTATGAGTTCAGTAAGATAGATAGTGGAAATTACAATATTTGGGTCTTTATAGGGGACGTGGAAATTAAGCTAGGACTTAAAAGGTAGCTGGGTAGCTGAAAGGGATGAAAGGGAGCTCCCACTTTTTTCACCAGCCTGTGTACACACTGACTGCCACTCTTGCTAGCAGGGCCTCTCCAAAGGCTGGGCATTTCTGTTCAGGAAAATCCAGTAACTTGGTCCCACTCTTTGGGCACATGATTCTAAAAGCATTTCCTCTTCCCTGGATTCCCCTTTTTTCTCTGACATCATTGCTCTTAAAGACCTTTTCTGTTTCCTGTTGGTTCAGTTTATAGACAACTTTTTTTTTATTATTATTCTGAAGAAATAATAAGGATTCCCCCCTTCCTTGGAAAACAGTCATATATTTTTTTTATGTATAAATACAAAGTGTGACAGGCCTGGTGACCCACCTTTAATCCCAGAAGTTGGAGGGCAGAAGCAGGCAGATCTGTGAGTTGAAGATCAGCTTGGTTTACATAGTGAGTTTCAGGACAGCCAGAGCTACATAACAGAGGAACTCTAGCTGAAAAATGAACCGGAGTTACAGGCAGCTGTGAGCTACCATGTGGGTGCTGGTAACCCAAACCTAGTCCTCTGCAAGAGCAAGTGATCTTAACCACCGAATCAGCTCTCCATCCCTAGATATTGTCTTTAAACTCTAGCAAAATCATCCTTGAGCTTCCTTTGGGGTCTGTTCTTAATTTCTATCATTAAGGAGACTAAGAACTCCATGCATTCCCCTGTAACATGTGGCAGCTCTGGCAGGACTTCTCAAATTTTCCAGTAACAAAAACAAGTCATCATTTTAGGGCAGAACACGAGCAAAACCAAACACCAAAGTAAAATTTCTTCTCTTGACCTTGGCCAGAGCCATAATGTTCTAGGTTTCTGTCCTGGATCAAGAGTAGAGATGCCTGGCCAGGCGATGGTAGAATGGCATACACCTGTAAACCCAGCACTCCGGAGGCAGAGGCAGGCAAATCTCTGTGAGTTCGAGGCCAGCCTTGTCTACAAAGTGAGTTCCAGGACAGGCTCCAAAGCTACACAGAGAACCCTGTCTTTAAAAAAAAAAAAAAAAAAAAAAAAAAAAAAGCAGTAAGAAATTCTGGTAGCTGGACTGGTTTCTTGTTCTCTCTTCCTTTAAATAAGCATCCCTTCCTGGAGATACACACCTAACAGTGTGACCACAGCTCCAGTTCACAGTTTATCCCTTCTGGTGAACCAGTCTGGAGTTGGACCTCTAGATTTGCATGTTGAGAATGGACAGGACCTATTTCCTGATTTCGTCTCACCTCCTAAATTATTTTAGTATTTGGTTAGTATTTTGAGGGGGGGATGTTATAGTTACCTTAGGAGACATCGAAGATGCCAGGTTTTGTTGAGACCCTTTCATCTTGGTAAAAAGAATGGGATGCCTCTGATCCTGAGTGGAGATATGACACTTTGATGGCTCCAAAAGAGAAGAACATTAATTACATACTGATTATTGTTGCTTCCCTCATGAGTTAACCGAACTGGGTGTGATGGCACACAGCTTTAAGACGGCACTCTAGAGGCAGTCAGATCTCTTGGTCAACTTTCTCCATTCTGCCCCATACTGCGGGGCATAGCTTTCTCTCCCTCTTCTCTACCTCACTTCTCCCAGGAGCTGCTCATATTTACAGTTTGCCTGCCCTGTTGTTTTCTTTCTTTCAAATACTAATAAAATTGTCCTTAAACTTCCAAGTCTGAGTAAAGACGAGTAAGACCCCCCCTAAAAGAAAGAACCCCCTAGTAACATTATCAAAGAACCTTCCCCTACATAATCAACTATCCCAGTTTACTGTTGAAGATATCTTTTATTTGTGTGTGTGTGTGTGTGTGTGTGTGTGTGTGTGTGTGTGTGTGTGTGTATGGAGGCCAGAGAGGACAGACCGTCAGTGTGGTTGTGAGCCACCAATATAGGTTCTGGGAACCAAACTCAGGTCCTCTACAAGTGCAGCCATCTCTCCAACACCCTGCTTTACTTTTGTCATCTTTAAGGGTGCCCCACTTTAATTCTGACAACCCTGACATTCCTTCATACCTGGAATGGGTTTTGAGGATTGTGGAGACTATAGTTCTGGGAGGGGGAAATGGAGGGCTCCGGATCTCTCCTGTTTAACAAAGTCATTGTCTAGAAAGGAGACCCAGGAATGTTAGTGGGTGCAGGTACTTTGGGAGCACAGACTTTTTTTTTTTTTTTTCAGGTTTACAATCGTGGCTGGGAGAGAGCTTTGTGTGATTCATCTTTCCGGAGTTCCTCGGGGAAAGGGCCCATAGGTTAGATATCAAATGACCCAGCAATTCTTTGCAGTCTTGAGCAGACGTGCTTTTGTGTTTCAGGCACCAATTTGACATCTAAAATCAAACCACTAACCTTTTAACTAAATTGCCTGAATATTAAGCCCTGCAATTTCTGAATGAGTTGTAGAGTTCTACGTATTAACCCTGCAAGCCTCTCAGAAAGGGCTCAGAAAGTCTCTGCAGCCCAGACTCTACCTTCAGCACTGTGAATTTGATCCTCAGCTCTGTCTCCCAATTTCATCTGCCCACTGTTACGGGAATGATCCAAGCAAGACAATGCTCTTTAATCACATCAATCTCCCCTCAGAAACTTCCCACTTGAAATTCCACTTCCCAAGGCCACACACAAGCTGGCCTCTGTCAACTTCCCATCTTTCATTAGGTTCGTCTTCATTTGGTGTCTTTCACTGAGAGACTGCCACAAAGGAACCTGTGTTTAGAAAAGTTCAACTGCCCACATAACAAAGATGAGCTGAAAGGTAGAAGAGCTCAGGAAGCAGACTCGTAATGGTGCACGGGAACTTCCGACAAGGCTCCAGGAGAGGATTATATACAAAGCTCAGATAACACAGTTAAGAGACCAAGTCAACACAGGACTGGATAGCATTTGTGTGATTTTTGAGAGAAGGATTTACTCTGCAGCCTAGTTTGGCCTCAAATTCACTAAAATAGTCCTGCCTCAGACTTCTGAATGCTAGCATTGCCACCGGGCCTGGATACATTTGTGGATACTGCAGTCTACCACACAAATGAGGGTGCTTCGGTAATTAGGATTGAATTTATCATGTCGGAAAGAAAAAAGTCTAACTTTGATGGTTGTAAGTTGTCAAGGAAGTTGTTGATGTGCCCACGTAGAGGTCAAAGAACTGTTGGGGGAACTGGTTCTCACCTACCACATGGGTGTAGGGGATGGAACTCAGTCTTGGCAACAAATTTCATCAATAGATAGATAGATAGATAGATAGATAGATAGATAGATAGATAGATAGAGGGCCTGGGAGAGACGGGTCAGCAGTTAAGAGCACTTGCTGCTCTTTCAGAGAACTGGATTTAAGTCCTCAGCACCCATATCAGGTGACTTGGAACTCTGCCTCCCAGGATCCATCTTCTTGCTGCCACAGCCACCTGCATACACGTGTGCACACTCACTCACTCACACAGATAAAATACAATCCTTTTTTAAAGAATCCGGGGGTGGGGGGGGGGGTTGGAGAAATGGCTCAGAGGGTTAAGAGCACTGATGCTCTTCCTGAGGTCCTGAGTTCAATTCCCAGCACCCACATGGTAGCTCACAGCCATCTATAACGAGATCTGGAGTTCACCCCAACATGCAGGCAGAACACTGTATATCGGGGTAAATAAGGATCAGGATAAACAAATAGGGCCAATAGATGTTTATTCAGGGAGAAATAACTTACAACCTAGACAGATGAACACCAAGAAATTCAACCCGATCCTCTCCTGTCCGAGTCACGCCAGAAAAGAGAGCGCCTTCCTGGCCCCCTCCGACCTCCTTCCACAGGTCACTTCCGCCCATGGCTCCACCCCCCAGTGGGTGTGTTCAGTGCTACAGAAGGACTATCTCACTACAACTGTATATATATAAAAAAAAAATCAGGTGGGTGGTGCTGGCATACTCCTTTAATGCCAGCACTATGAAGGCAGAGTCAGGTGTATCCTGAGGCCACCCTTATCTACAGAGTGAATTTCAGGACAGTCAGGGCTACACAGAGAAACCTTGTACTGGGGGGGGGATCAAAAGAATTACATTTCATTTTACACAAAAT